CAAATTTTCCAATCAAGAAGACATACTCAGGAAGATTTTTACCTAAATTAAAAAAAAAAAAAAAAAAAAACCTTGAGGGGAGCATGCTAAGTGAAATAAGTCACACAGAAAAAGACAATTAGCATACAATTTCATTCATATATGGAATATAAAAAGCCAAAGCAAATGAACCAACAACCAAAACAAAACAAAAGCAAATCCTTAGACTGGCAACAGAATGGTGGTTACCAAATGGGAAGAAGGTGATGGTGGGAAAGGGACAGGAAGAAGAGGTTAATTTGTCAGTGGCAGACAGTAAGCAGACATTTGTTGGTGAGCATGGGCTGGCATATGCAGTTGTTAAGGTGTGTGGCTCTGAACCTGAAACTAATACAGTATTGTAAACCAATATTACCACAAATAAAAATTTATTTTCACCACTATAGATGTGCTTTATGAGACTACAGACTCTTATTTTAGTTTCTGCCTCAAAAGGAAAGCTAAGAATGACTCTGAGAATAATACCAATCTAAAAAGGTCCCTCTGTAAATGAAAACTAGAAGAGTTAGAATGTGTACCACAACTAAAAGGCTATGAAGAAGGCCACTGAGGTGTGGTGTATCACAAAGCTCTTGTTATTTAAACCATTAACTTACAGGAATACTTACACTGGAACTCTGTGCTGAAGATCCCCCACTAGCAATAAATTAACTCAGACCGGGCCATAGGTAAGGAAACATCTGAAAACTGTCTAACATTTGTATATTTCTTTTTAAGCCTTAAACCAACATTGCCATTCGTAACTGGGCTGCAGGTTTCTATTCACTCTAATTGTCAATCTTTAAAAATCATTAGAACTCTTTCCACTAGATGGCTGTCTTTACCAAGAACTGTAATAGCTATGCCAGCTTGGGACAAATTGTAACTATTAAAGTTTACCTTTTATAGAAATAGCCTATATACTAATCCTTTAAAAATTACTCCATCTGAGGTTCCTCAAACTGCTAAACATGGAGCTTCCATATGACCCAGCAATCCCACTCCTAGGTATCTACCCAAAAGACACAAAAAACAATGATTCAAAGACACCTGCACCCCCATGTTTATTGCTGCCTTATTTATAATTGGAAAGACATGGAAACAACCCAAATGCCCCAAAGTAGATAACTGGATTAAAAAGATGGGTTACATAGACACAGTAGAATATTACTCAGCAACCAAAATAAATAAACACATGCCTTTTGCAGCAACATGGATGGAGCTGGAAAAGATCATGCTTAGTGAAATAAGCCAGAAAGAAAAGGAAAAATAACGGATGGTTTTGTTCATAGCAGGAGTGTAATGGACCAGGCGAGAAAATAATAATAATAATGAACAGCTATATACAGTGACATTTTAGCGGGGTAGAGTGGGGAATGGGATCAAAAACACTAGGGAGGGAGGGAAATGCACTGGACTATGGTGATGGCACATGGGTGATTTGGTGATGGGAAGCCCACAGGGATTACAACAAAGATGGAAAAATGCAAAAAATTATGTAAAAATAAACTATTGTGTCATTTATTTAAAAAAAATTACTCCATTTGTTTAACCCCCACATTGAGAAAAGTCAGTGGATGGTAAAATTGAGTCCACTTTTAAAAAATAGAAGAGGGCTCTCCCTGGTGGCGTAATGGGTTAAGGCACAGCACTATGAAGCTATCCCTAGCTTCAATTCACGGCTCTGAGTAGAGATCAAACTCATGCTGTAGTGGCTGACCATAACTTCATAGTGCTGAGATTTAAGCCTCTTGCCACCAGAGAGGCCCCTGAAGCCTTAATTTCTAAAGCCTCTAATATGAACTGTTTGGATATAGAAATTTTGGAGAGGAAATTAAGGTTAAAAGAGTTCATCTGGCTGGGACCTAATCAATTTGATTGGTGTTATATGAAACAAAATTTGGACTCAGGCACCGAGGATGCACACGAACAGAGAGGAAAGGCAGCAAGAAGATAACTATCTGCACATCAAAGAGAGTGCCTCAGGGGTAAAAATTAAATTTTCCTTGATCTTGGACTTCTAACCTCCAAAACCTTAGAAAACAAATTTCTGTTGCTTAAGGACTTCTCTTCCTCCTCTATTTTATTTTATTATGGTAGCCCTAACAACCTAATGTACAACATGTTAATTGAATTAGATAGTATTTGTCTTTTTGTCACTAGCTTATTTCACTTAATATAATGTGCTCAAGATTCTTCCATATTGTAACATGACAGAATTTCCTTCTTTTTAAAAACTGAATAATATTCTATTGTGTATACATATACCAGATTTCATTTAACCTTCCATCTTTCATGGATGTTAGATTGCTAATGTAAATAGCCTCTTGACTAATGGAAATAATGCCATTATGAACATGAGTGGGCAAATAAGTATTCAAGACCCTGCTTTCGTTTCTTTTGTGTGTGTGTGTGTGTGTGTGTGTATATATATATATATAGAACTGGAATTACTGGATAAATAGTCATTCTATTTTAAATTTCTTGAGGAAATACCATGCTGATTCCATAGTAGTTGTACCATCTTACAATTCCACCAGCAATGCACAAGTGTTCCAGTTTCCCCAAATCTTCATCAACACTTATTTTGTTTTTTTATACATAGCAGTCCTCTTAATAGATATAGTAATCTCATTGTGGAAAAGCTGCATTTCTCCAATGATAATTTGCTGCTTTTAAAAATGAGGTTAAACTTTGAGGTATCACTTATACCTTCTATATTGGAAAAAAATTATCTGACAATAGCAAGAATTGATAGGGACAGAAATAAAACAACAAACTCCTACATGTTGCTGATGGGCATTATATTAATGTAACAATTTCTTTGAAAAACAATTTGGTACTAACTTGTGAAGTGAACATTCCCATTTCGAGTGGATAACTCAGCAACTCCATTCCCAGGTAGTCCATTCCCAGTTTTTCAAACCTTTCACCACTCAGGTGTTCATGACAATTAGCTCTTTCTTTTCTTTTTTAATATCAGAGAGCTGAACATTGTCTTACTACTTTGTGAAACTTTTGTTTTATATATGTGTTTACTGGTTCACAACACTAATTGCATTTTTCACATCATGCACAGTGGTCAAAAAGTTTACTTGCACATGTGCAACTAAAAAATACATAAGAATGTTCATAGAAATGTTTTCTATAATAATAAAGAAATTGGGGGAGTGGGGAACTCAAAGGTCCAGAACTGTGAATTTGTGCTATAACCCCACAAGACAACACTTTTAAGCAGTAAACATGAATGTATGGCTTTCACAAACATTTCCTTCACAAAGATCACAAAGACTGATATTTTCATACACGTCAAGACCAAGTAAAACTGAACGATCTGTTAAGGGATAACACACATGAGGAGGAATTAATAAGAAATTAGCAAATACAAAGTAGTAAATAAAATTAGGAGTGCTTTTCACAAGTGGATGAAATAAGGAAGAAAAAGACGCTATATTATTATTGGTCATGTTCTAGTTCTTTGGTGGATTCAAGGACACTCATTCTATTAATAAAAAATACAATTTAAATTTATACAATATTGTTGTATATATAACTGCATGAGTTACATACTTATAAAAATGCTTCTCAAAGTGTACAAACATCCTCTATCTTTCAGCACAGCAGTGAGTCAGCATCCCCAAGCAAAAACTGAATTTCCTGAAAAACAGGTTAAAAGTTAAGAGAACAGTGGGAATACTTGTCAACATGCCAAAGGTCAGTATTCATCCTTTTCTGTGAGGGTAACTTTCAAACAGTTCGAGGCCAGGGGATGAAGTAGGGAATGGTCATAAACAGCTACATCAAGATGAACACAACCTTAAGCTTGAGGACTTTGTACTTTTCTAACTTCGTTGGTAACAGAAAAAATACAACTCACAAACTTTGTTGTTGATGTGTATACAGTGTTTTTACACCTCAATACAGTCAGTATCTTACTGTCTGGCAAATGCACCCTTTAGTTCTGAGCTAATTAAAGACCCAATTATGGAAAGAGTTATGAAAACTATTCCCCTCAATAACTGACTTTGAAATGAAATAAACTCTGATTTCTTAGTTTCCTTTAGCTTACCTTCTAGCAACTCATCCAAGTGGAAAGCAATCTAATCATTTCTGAGAAGTAAATTAGAAGAAAACAAAATAGCAGTTTCGGGGAAGGTTGAAATGGGGGGGGGAGGGTACTAAATACAAATCCCCCTGGAGATAAGATTATGGAAAGCCAAAATATACATAAAATTTCCACACTAAGAATTCCAAAACAATAAGCAAGACTGCGACAGGGTGGTGAGGGGTGAAAAACTTTCAAACGTTTGTCAGTGTAATAACGGCAAGGAAATACAGTTTGGGAGAGCCTTGCCGTAAAAAATGACAACATATAAAGTCATTGGACTTCAGCAAACCCCACCGCAAAGATGGCGGCGAGACGAGACAACCCCCACCCCCCCAACCCCGCCCTCTCCTCCCACCTCCCCGGGCTCTCGCCCCACATTTCCCACAAACCCCTTCGCGAGGCACCGCTCGCCGAAACCAGCCCCGCCAGGCTGCGATCACTGCGCATGCGTGATACGACGTCACGTGCGCACCCACAGCTCGGCGGAGCTGGCAGGAGGGGCCTCGCCAGCTTCCGCCGCCGCGTCGCTCCGGGGCTCGGACGGCGCGTTCGCTTTGCCTCCGCCGCCACCGCGGGGCAGCCGGGGGCCGTGCTGGGAACGCGCCGCGGCGCGGCCATGGGACTGCGCCGAGCCCCGTGACAGCAGGGAGCCGAACGGCCCGGGCCCTGAGCACGTCTGCTTCGGGGGGCCTCGCCCTCCTGCTTGCGGGGCCGGGGCTCCTGCTGCCGCTGCTGGCGCTGCTCCTGGCGGCGGCGGCGGCC